TTTTTTATTTTTTTTAATACTGGGGATTTAACCCAGGGGTGCTTAACCACTGAGCCCCATCCCCAACCCTTTTTATTTTTTATTTTGAGAGCAGAGTCTTGCTAAGTTGCTTAGGGCCTTGCTAAGTTTCTAAGGCTGGCTTTGAACTTGCAATCCTCCTGCCTCAGCCTCCCAAGTCGCTGGGATTACAGGTCTGCACCACTCGCTGGCCCTTTTCCAAGCTTTAAACATTCTATCCATTGCTGCTTTATATTTCCAGCCTGACAGTTTCCCTGCCGGGAGGAAGGGGCTTTAACTCTGTTGTTCATTGTTTCTGCTGATTCTCACTCATGGTGGCCTCTTTGCCTGTGTTGCTCATGGTCTTTGATTGGGAAGGAACCTTTTTTGTCCATTTTTCACTTATCTTACTTTATGGGAATCCTGAAGGCCTAAGTGAGGCTGCTTTTATGTGGAGAAGATTTGGGTTTGTTCTGCTGAGGACAGCAGGCCCCATCCCAGCCTAAAGCAGGGGTCTCCATTTTTGCCCCTCCCCTTTTGCGGCCTTCCCTGGCTTAGGCTAATCAACCAAAGGCTGAGCTGGCATCCGGCTCAAGGCAGCTCCGTCTTTCTATTTGCTTATTTCTCAATGTTGCCATTGGGGTTTCATCTCACTTTGTTTTCTTTGTGCTTAATGTGAACCCAACAACTCTGGGGGAGAAAGCATTTTCTGTAAGAGTCCATAGACTGCTAGACTTCCTTCTTCTTCCACTGACTTCCACCTAACTGTTTGCTCTCTGTTGGGGTTAGGCAGGGTGCTGAACCCTCTTTGTTATCTCTCAAACACAGAGCTTTGTAAATAGGAAGTATCCATTATATAACTACCCATTCGCTGGTTAATATTTAAACATTACAGCAGGCAGTCCAGCGCCCCTCACAGCAATGCCCCTTGAACATCAATGCTCTAGTCCCGTGTGGTGTGGCCTTTCCTAATTATCTGAGCTTGTATTATTCTGAGAGCTTCCTCCCTTCACTCACAAGTGATTAATGCAATGTTGTTGGTACAGCTTCGCCCACCACCACCTCCAAGCCTGTTGCCAACTGTGGTTTGCAGAGGCTGGGCCCGCATCCCGGAGGCCTGTTTGTTTGTCCTGGTATTCATTACTATTTGGCTCCCCTCCCATCTGCTGCCAGTGCAGAGTTATTTATATCAACTCAGAGAAGGCTCGGGGAGCTTCGCTGTGATAACTCACATCCTCGGATGCCTTTCAGCCCAGAGGACTTCGCACGTGGCATCCTTTCAGGAAACCCTTCCCGTGGACCCGGGGGAACTCCCGGCTTCCCCGGGAAGTGGCAGCTGCAGGTCCATCTGCTCGGCTGATAAGGTCTTTGCATTCACATTAAGAGCCCTGGCCCACAAAACATGCCGTGGAAGTCGCTCAAAGAGGCCGCGACAGCTGAGTCACAGTGAAGAGCATCGAATCTGTGATTCTGGGGAATGGCAAGTACCTAGCAGGAGCTGAGCCAGGCACTGAGTCACACCACTCAGCCCCAGGGGGTTACTTGCTGTCTGTTAACCTTCTAGAAAAAGGGACACTCTGAACATTATACAATGTATCCACATATTAAGACATCACAAGGGACCCATAAATAGATAACAATTTTATGTGCTAATTTTTGAAAACAAAATAAACTAATAAAAAGACCAGCGTTTCCTACCCAAACTTATTTAATCTGGGCATTTTCTTTTAGGCAAAAAGAAGTGGGGGATGGGGAGGATACTGCTTAGAAGTCAGCCATCTTCCCTCCGCCAGGCCCAGTCCACGAGTTCCGAAGACCTAAGGGCCGTGTGGCATACCACTCCAGATAATTTGCTGTCATCGATGTCACATTGGGGCTATGATAATTCTCAGTTCTCATTTTTTCAACCAATAGAATTCCTTACAGCCAGCGTTTTGTTCTTAGACATAGGGTAGAGCTCAAATGAAGACTTTCTGAAGTTCTGGCAGCAATCTAACTCAATTAACAAATTAACACGAGGCCACAGGCACAGCTCCCAAAAGAAATTAGTCCAGCCCCAGAAGTCAGGCTGGGGGGAGGGGAGTGTCAATAACCATTTTCAGTGAAATTGAACAAATTACCAAGAATCTCATTCTCTTGTTGGTGCTTACAGTAAGTGACATCCAACATATGACTTTGGGAAAAGGGCCAAAGAGAAAATTTGTGACTTGGCGAAATTTTGTGCTGAACATAAAATTTCAAGTCTGATTTATCTGCATGTCAGTCACTCTAGGGAAGCCACTACAAGGAGTGCTCCCCCCACCCCCCCTTCTCTGGCCTCTGGACCGGTGTTTCTGCCAGGGGAATATCAACATTGCACCACTAAAGCCGTGTTGAAATCGAGCTGGTGGAGGGAGATGGCAAGTGTGGGCGGTAAGTTTCAAAACTCTAGTTTTGAAACACCCGCAGTGCCTGGGCCTATGTTCTCTGGCTGGTGAAATAATGGGTGCTGTTTGCACACCCATGAAGGTTGTTTACTCCTCCTGCCGCAAGAGCATTTCAAGTCCCAGAAGAGCAAAACTCGGGCTGCTTTTGGCATTGCCGCTTTTTCTTCTAAATGTGGCACTTGCCATAGTGGATAGTCATGGGTTCCTTTCCCTTCACTCTGAAAGATCCCTCTCTCTCTCTCTCTCTCTGAAGGTCAGTCTGAATCAATATGACAATTTGGACTTTCAGCTTAGGACAAGCAGATGTTAGCTATCTCATCCCTTTCTTTCTGAAGAAAAGTAAATAGAGGGTGGGTTGCAGGCCTTCCCAGGGGCTTGATGCAGCTCTGTTTTTGTTTTCAGTTGTAGGTGGACACAATCGCTTTATTTTACTCATTTCTATGTGATGCTGAGGATCTAACCCAGTGCCTCACATGGGCTGGGCAAGTGTGCTCCATTGCTGAGCCCCAGCCCTTGGTGTAGTTCTTTGATAGAGAAACTGTTCTTATGGACTAGCTTCCCCTGGGATAGAATGTATGATTTTTATCCTGCTTTTATTCATTTAATGGAAATTTTTATTTGAATTTTATCATATGATATTAAAAATTATATAAAAATTATATAAACCTTTGAAATTAGATCATTATTCCTGTTATTGTTCTCGGGCCTCTGTGCCCATTCTCCTCCTCCTCCTCCTCCTCCTCCTCCTCCTCCTCCTCCTCCTTCTTCTTCTTCTTCTTCTTTTTTCTTGGTAGCAGGGATTGAACCCAGGACACTTAACCACTGAGCCACATCCCTAGCCCCGCCCTTTTTATTTTTTATTTTGAGACAGGGTCTCACTAAGGGTTTTTGTTTTTTGGGTTTTTTTGGTTGTCAATGGACCTTTATTTTATTTATTTTTATGTGGTGCTAGGTCTTGAACTCAGTGCCCCTCATGTGCTAGGCAAGTGCTCAACCACTGAGCTACAACCCCAGGCCCTCGCTAAGGTTTTCAGGGCTTCACTAAGTTGCTGAGGCTGGCTTTGAACTTGAGATCGTCTCCTCAGCCTCCTGATCCACTGCTTCTTCTTAATGATCAACATTGGAAGATAGAAGGAATCAGAACTATGTTCCACTGCCCCACACGGCTGGCCTCCTGTGTCTGTGTCCATGTATGGCAGCTTCCCTCTGTCACTGGGGAGAGTTGTGCTTCCCTGTGCAAACATCCCGCCCCACTCAAACACTGCGATCCCAAGGCTGCCTGCTCTTCTGAACCGTTATTCCCGTGAGCAGGCATCATGCTGGCACAGTCCCCATCTCGACAGACCCTCCCGACTGCACCTTGCCTTTGACCTGCCGGCTCATTCTGTTTCTACGTCTCTGTACCGGGCTGTTTGCACCCCCTTGCCTCCCATTCTCTCCTGAACCCACTCACCCCTTTTGTCCTCACTGCAACTGTGAAAGTACTCTTGTCACAGTCATCAATAAGGTCCCCAATGCCAAAATCAGGTGGTATCCTGTGCATGGGTGGACAGTGGCCACAGCATCTGTGGCCAGTGGTGTCTCCACCAGACCCATCCTAGGAACGGGCATCTTCCTGTTCAGGAGCTTTTGTTGACACCTGGTTCTTCAACCCTCACAAGGTTGTTGGCACCCTCTCAATAATCCCATTTTGCCTTAAAATAGCTAGAGTTGGTTTCTGATGCTTGTAGTAACAACTGTTGAGCTGATGATTGATTCGCTGGAGAAGCTAGACTGACTTGATTGTGTGTGATGACTCATTTCTAAAACACAGATGGGGAGAGTTCCCTGGGCCCCTCACCACCAGGAGATATGTGTGTGTTGGGGGGGGGGGGGGAGGCTGGTGTTGTGCTTCTCTCAGCAGATGCTTAAATAATTGCATATTGTCATCATCTGGACCAAGCAGCCTCTCCTCCCAGTGCTGCTGCCCTTTGAGATGGCTTTCTCCCTTTAGGGTTGACCAGGATTCTCATTCTGTCCAGATTTGTCCATTTTAAAATGGAGTAAAAAATCCCAAACGGGCAAATGATGTGAACCTGAAGGAGTTTACAGGAGAGGAAATGCTAACGGCCAAAAGGCACATGCAAGCTGCGAAAACTCACCGTCTTCAGGGGCAGGCTCATGAAAACCCAGATTTGCAAATCCTTAAATCTGAGTTGATGAGGCAGCGAGGAAAGCAGCATTCTTGGAAAGTATGGGCAGAATCTCAAGAGGATAATGATGTGTGGACCTTTGGGCACAACTAAGCAGATATCCGGAAAAACTTGCACAAGATGGCATACAAGAATGTGGGCAGCGTGGGCACTTTTTTCATAAGGAAAATCTAGAAATTCTCCATCATCAGGAGAATGGATAAATGAATGGCATGAACCTACAAAGGAGTATCAGGGCACAGCAAAGATGAACAAATGTCAGCTATGTGTTCCACAAGAGTAAGTTTCACAGCCACCATGGGAGACAAAAAAGGCAGGTTGCTGAGGATGCACACAGGACCTTACATGGGTTAAAAATCTCAGGACACAATGCTGTATCATGGAATGGTAATGGAAATATATATATATTTAGGGATGGAATATATATATAGGAATGGAAATATATACACACACAAAGTTAAGTACACAGGAATGAATGGAAATAATGAACACTAAATTATGAGTAATTGTCTCTCCTGGGCACAGCACGTGAAGGTGAAAGAGGAGAATACCATGAGGAGTGAACAGAGGCTCACTATTCACATGTCTCGTTGTTTCATTGAATAAGCTGGGTCACGAATGCACCTTCTCTCATACCCAAACTATTCTGTAGATAAAAAAAAAAAAGAATGAAACAATGGATTAGGAAAGATAAATCAGCCAGAGAGGTTTATCCAGGTCACCGAGGAGTGGCGTGGGTTCTGTGAGTACTGGTTTTCCTAGAAGTGGCCTTGAGCTCCATCTAAGAGTTGGCCAACACTTCTACCAATAAATATTGCCCAGTTTCCTGGTTCAGAAATAATGAGTCTATTGATACTGCATGTCTTATACTCCATGATTTGTTGGAAGGCAGTATGAGCAGCTAACAATCAGCTTGGCTTATTTCATTTCTTCCCTTCCCGTCGCCTTCCTGTTATGGATGGGGTTTATTTAGGGAAAAAACAGGTAACTGCTTTCTGGCACTGATTCCTTGTCTCTGAGTCCTTGGTCTTGCTTTTGCCAGCAGTGGTAGAAAAAGTCCCAAACATTGGAATAAAAAGGGGATGTGGCTATTGTGGGCTTAGTGACGTGAATTATGGGGAAATTAGTTCCATATTTACCCCTTTCCAGGACAATTAAATAACTGACCTCCCTTTCCATGGAGAATTTTCTTCCATATACTGGGAGGCTCTAATACAAGCCTGTGACACCAGGAGGATATGGAAGGGACATGGGTAATAAACTAGCAGTCTTATCAAGAGCCTTCCAAACGCTCATGCCCTTCTACCCAGCAATTCTACTTTCAGGACACTAATTCAAAAGTGATCACTAAATATTATCAAATATTTGTGTCCCCCCCCAAATTGGAAAACAAAGTTCTCAAAAAAGGGGTCAAAAAGTATTTAAAAAACCCAACTAATGTATTATAATATCATTGAATATGTTGCATATAGTGGTTCTAAATGGCATGGAAAAATATGCATAGTAGCACTTAAATTATAAGAAACAAGATATGGCACTGTAATCTAAAATTAGCAACCCTATTCTAGAAATGTCTCTATCACCTATCAGTCTACATAGAAGAAAAACAGGAATGAAATATACAGAAACATTAACAGTATCTATCTCTGGATAAAGAAATTATGGCGGGCTGGGGATGTGGCTCAAGCGGTAGTGCGCTCGCGTGGCATGCGTGCGGCCCGGGTTCGATCCTCAGCACCACATACAAACAAAGATGTTGTGTCCGCTGATAACTGGAAAATTAATATTAAAAAAATTATCTCTCTCACTCTCTCTTTAAAAAAAAAGAAATTATGGCAATGAAAATACAAATGTTTTTACATTTTTTCCAAAGTTTTTATACAATGAGTATGTATTACTTTTAAAAACAGGGGTGGGGGGGGAATCATTAAAAGAAAAGCTCTCTGAGCTCCCCAGGGCAGGGCCTCAAGGGTGACCCACTCTAACACACCTGAGGGACAGAACACACTTAGTGTGTGGCCATGACTTTCTCAAGAGAAGAGTGTTTCTGAATCTGTGGGTGTCAGCACTCAGGTGTTCTGGATTCTCACCCACTCAAGGAGGGGGCGCCCCATAGGCCCACCCTCCCACTCTTCAGAACCTCAGTCTCCACGGTAGGTGAAAAGGCAGGTGCACCACCCAGGGCAGGAGACCTTCAGAACTCTCAGGATTGACCCTTGCTTCCCATTCCCCACCCCCTCAGATTTACTCACTTGGACACCAGGGCCCAGATCTCCACCACAGACGTCCGTTCATTGCACGTGAAGTTTTGGTATCTGTGAAGTGTCTAGGACATTGGAGGGAGAAATGTAGAGCCCGTGACCTCTGAGGCTAAGACTCCACAGTGGCTCCACACTGTTTTGTTCCTTTAGTTGAATACATTCTGGGTCACTTCCTGAAAGGAGGAGGACAGGGGGTAAATTAGAGCATCCGCAATCTGGGGAAGGGGGAATGAAAGGGGGTAAAATGCAAGGAGGACACCTGGCCTTCCCTACAAGCTGGTCCTTCTCCTCTCCGAAGGGTGAGGGCAGGGGAGAGACTCAGTCTCATGCTCAGAGCTGAAGAGCCTGATAGACCTGGCAACTCACCTGCAGCCTCTCAATGAGGCTCACCTGGGTGAGTGGCTTGGGTTCCACCATCCCCATTCCCAGTTTCAGTGGTGAAGTCCTAATCCCCCAGCATCTCGGAATGTGAACTTATTTGGAGATACCTTGCAGGTGTAATTAGTTAAGATGATGTCACTCTGGAGTAGGATGGCCCCTAATCTAATGATTGGAGTCCTTATACAAAGAGGAAATTTGGACACAGACATGACCACAGGGAGAGTGCTGTATGAAGACTGGGAAGGGCCAGGGGACAGGCCTGGGACAGACCCTTCCCTGCAGCCTTTGAAGGAAGCAGGGTCCTGCCCACACAATAATGCAGACTTCTGACCTCCAGAACCTCTAGAGAGCACATTTCTGAGGTCCTAAACTATCCAGGTTGGAGTCGCTCATTATGTCAGCCCTGGGCCACAATGAGCCTGAACTGGTGAGAGGGGGCTTCTGAAGTCCCCACCCCCAAAAGTGCAGAACTGGCTCCCAGTGGCCAGTAGCCTCACAGAACTGGCCTCTGCTCCTTCCGGAGCACTGGAGGCCCATTTCAAAAGGGAGCCACCCACCCCGACCCCCAATGAAGAGGAAGGGTTAATTCACAGTGTTCCATCATGCCAGGAGCCTTCTGCTTGGACACAGTTTATTTAAATTGTCTGATCCATTTTTATTACTCATGACACACCATTATACAAGTGACTCCTAAAATTGGATATAAAAAGAAGGTAGCATCATTTTTAATCCCTTTAATATAATATAATGGAGAAATTAATCATTTATTACAGCAGATGATTGAAAACCACTCAAAGAGGGGCTGGGGTTGTAGGTCAGTGGTAGAGTGCTTGCCTTGCATGCGTGAGGTACTGGGTTCGATCCTTAGCACCACAATAAAAATAAATAAAGGCATGCTGATCATCTACAACTACAAAAAAAAAAAAAAATTAAAAAAAAAGAAAAAGAAAACCACTCGAAGATTTCTCTTCATCCTGAAACTTGGTAGTGGAAGGTGTTTCCTACAGGTTTGTGAAATTTTTGCATCTTATAAAGCTTTAGCAAAGGAAGCATCAGAAAATTTAAATGATAATGTTTTTGTGTTTGGGTGGGTCTCTCTCTCTCTCCTCCTCTTCCTTAAAAACAAAAGCTTCTTCACTGAAGAAGGCCTCAGAAGCTACTGAACACAGGGAATGCAGGCAAGGTTGCCTCCTGCGGATGTCAGCATTCTTGCAGTGTAAAAAGAGAAGAAACTAATTACCCAGAAGAGATGGCTCAAGTTCTAATTCAGTACTCATATCTAACAATCATACTCTCGTTTCTACTGAGGGCCTCAAAGTATTTTGCAAAAGGAATTGAAGCTTCACAATGACCCAAGAGACAGATATATTTTTGCTAAATTTGCGATACATAAATAAAGAGGGGGGCAAAGAAGACCGAGAAACAGTCCACCTAGATCAGCCAGTCTCCTGATCCACCAGCCCAGCCTAAGCATTGCAGTTGCTCAGTGCCTGTGTCTAAGAGTCAAGTAGTGTCACTCTGAGACTGTGCTAATCATTTTAAGACTTGTTCTTGTCTTTGTTTCAACCAAAACTTCCTGGTGCTGGTGAATCCACTCTGGCCTCTTCACTGCTCAGGCACAGCTCAGAGAAGCAGTTGAAACAGATGCCACTGTCACCAGCCACCACACTGCCTGCAGGACCACAGCCAAGCTGACATTGTGGCATGTGGCCACTGGTTGCTGAAAATGATGCCATCCACATTCTTTAGGAGGCTCCTGCTGCCATGCTGTATCACCAGGCTTCCTAAGGGCAAACTGGCATCTGCTCCCAGCAAACCCAGAACCCAAGAAAGCCAACAACAGGAAGGGGTTGGTAAATCTACCAAAATAAAAAAAGAGTCTGTGGCCTTGGTGGCAAATTATGGATTCAAATTGCAAAGCCCAGGAATGTTTCCAAAGAGTTTTTAATTCAAGGACAAATATTGATTCTCAGAGCCTGTCCCTTCAGTGTTGGAGCCTGAGAGAGGTTCCAATAAAGAATGTCCTATCCTGACATCCAATGCCATTCAGCAGGCAGCTCCTTGGTGGTTTTCAGCTGCAGATGACAAGGGCATGAAAACTGGATTGAAGACCCCAGAACAATCCACCAAGGCTGGGGTTGTTTTTGCCTGTGATCCCTTAAAGGTCTCTGTGGAGATGGGACAGTGGCGAGATTTGCTCTCCAAAGGCTCCTAACCTCATCCATTGTCCTCCTTGCCTCCCACGCTGGGATTTCTATGACCTGGAGACCTCCTCCCCTCCTTTTCATTCTGTCAACAAATTATTGGGTGTCTGCTGTGGGTCTCATCCCAAGCACAGTGAGAGACGGGGTTGTAGTCAATTCTGAAAAATGTCTTCTGTCCCCAAATCCACAGATTTTGTATGGGAGCAAGCCTCAGTTTTTAAAACCTATTCATTTCCTGAGTTTTAGAGAATGATAGCAAGAGATACCAACAGATACACTTTCCCACCAAACAGCTCTATTCTTTAAAAAAAAAAATTTATCAAAATGATTCAGTTTGTGAGTAATGAGGAATAGGACACCTCAGACAAAGGAGGAATGGATGTTTCCAGAAGCACTGACCAGCTAACAGCCTGATCCAGTATTATGTGTCTACCTAAGTCCTGACTTTCAACTTTTTAAAACATTTATTGGACACACAGCCCTATCTGGGAATGGGTATTCTTGTATTTTTTTTTTTTTAGTGTTTTATTGTTTTGAATATTTACAACAACAGAAATAATAATAAATCTTTAAAAATAATAAAAACTCCCATCCCCTAACAAACCAATCATTTCCTTTGAAATGTTTCCTACCAGTCTTGCTTTAAATATATGCATGTTTTATACATAATTGACAGAGATGCAATTTGATTTTGTTTTACCTGAAGTCATAAAGCATTTGTGTTTCTGCACAAATTTCCACACTTATCAGTGTTTACTGACTCATTATATTCAACCTAGTAAATATATTACAATTCGCCTACCATTATTTGCTATTACAAATATTTACACTAAGGATTTTCATGTGTGTGTGTTGGTTTTTCCTTTTTTGGAATATTTCCTTAGGAACATTCCTGGGATCAGGGCTCCTGGCCTAAAGGGTATTTGCATTTTATTTGTTTTTAGTGAATTGAAGTAAGTTTTGTTTAAAAAATTTCACAATGGTGTTGGAGGTCATGGTTTTGTGTGTGTTGCAAAACCAAGGCTGGCAACCACTGCCTGGCCTTGAGTGCTCAAGCCACACCGCTGTTCTTTACGCACAGAGAAGCAGCCGGAAAGAGAGTTCCATTTGAAACAATACAGACATGGCATACAAATGACTAGACTTGAAAAATGATCTTTTGCCTTTCATTGATTTTTTTTTTCTGCTGCTATAGAACATGTTATGAAAATGGAGTTTGCAGTTTTCATTTATCTGTGACTCATCAGAAAATCTTTTCAGCTACCTTCAGGGCTAGTGGTGAGCCTTATAATCAAAGGAACTCAATAAATGTTTGTTGAATTGAATTGAAGGGAGATGAATTTTTATGGCTCCATTCCATTTTTCCATTTTTCTGATGGATATATAGCATGAGCAAGAAATAAACCGTTGTTGTCAGAAACACAGAGGTTTGGGGATTGTTTATTACAACAACTGACCTAGACTTCCTAGACTGATGTACCTACCACCTGTCAAGGACTTTCTTTGAAAAATGGCTAAATGCACATAGGTATTTATAGTAGCATTATTTACAATTGCAAAGAAAAAGCAAATGCACTGGGAATCAAGAGAATAATGCTATTCTCAATTTATTATAAAATCATTAAAATTAATGTTGACTAAGACCTTGGAATTACATGGAATATTCTTATAATTTTAAAAGGGGGACAAAATCGCATATATGTACATCGTTTACTTTGCATTTAAAAAGCTATGCTTACAAGGGAAAAAAAAGCAATGCAATAAAACAACAAGGCTGATAGCTTAAATTTGAGAGAATAGAGGTGAATATTCTCCTTTTTAAAATTTCCTTTATGTGTGTTTTGTGGTACTGGGGATTTAACCCAGGGAAGCTTTACTACTGAGCCACATACCCTGTCCTTTTCATTTTTTATTTTGAGACCGGATCTCACTAAATTGTCCAGGCTGACCTTGAACTTGTGCTCCTCTGCCTCATCCTCCCAAGTTGATGGGATTAGAGGCATAAACTACAGCACCTGGCTAAATTTCCTGTGTTTTTAAGAGTGCACATTGTTCTTACAATTAACAAAAATGTATTGTAAAAGACTATTTTCCTTGGTAACCTGTTTTTCCTATCTATTTATTTTCCCAGGAGCCAGTAGTGACTCATTCAATAAATATTTATGGAGCTCCTACTATGTGCTTCTTATGGTTGGTTGTACATGTGGTGGTCATAGCCATGAATAATGCAGATGAATGAATTTCTATTTTCATAAAGCTTACATTCTAATGGAATATTTTAAGTACAAAAATCTCCATAATAATAATTTGCTTAAATTATTTGAGAATTTGAGGGAGGAAAGAAAAGAGAAAAGGCATCTAAATTTCTTTTACCAGATGTTTAAAAATTTGGGTTATTCATTTTCTGTTTTAGTCAGTCATTTGCTAATTTAAAAAAAAATCTACAATCACTGTTAGAGTTGTGTCTATCTTATAGCTCAACTTATTAATAAGTGTTATTAAAATCTGGAAAATCAATGCCAATCAGAACTGCTGGATATTAACCGTTGTTCTCACAAAGCGGTGAACACACAGACAA